TTTAGTAAAGTACTGCAAATTTGGGGCAATATCTCACCTAGATCCACCCAAAATCATAAATATTTGCATAATTTGGATGAAATTATTATTAAAATTACGTGTATATCTAATAAAATAATATGAAACAAACAATGTTTAGTATGCAAACGTGATGAAATCACTAAAAAGAAATTAAACAGGTTGTGCGATATCAGTTTAATATGCCACCATTAAATTTCATTTTGTCATTTCAACATTAAATATCTTTCCAAAATGGTCGATGATCTATTATTTTTTTGTGACCATTAAAATCGTAATTTTTTAAAACATTATAATCTCGTTTTTCAGAAAATTCTGCCTTCTTGTTTGTGTGCAATTAGTCAAAGAAACGTCTCCAATCCCAATCTGTTACTATACATATACGTAAAAAGTTACATTTTCGAACATTTTTTTTTCTTCTCAGGTAGCACGTATTTGTTTCAGAAACGTTTCATAACTAACTCTTGAAAACGTTTCTGAATGGTTAAAATGTCCACTAGAAAAATGTTTAATGAAATGTTTCTTTTTGGTAAAAAAAAAAATATATAGAGAAATATAATCAAAATATCATTTTTTCTCTATCTGTAAAAAAGTTTGCGTATTCGTTCTTTTTAAGCAAATTTTTTCATAGATAGAGAAAAAATGATATTTCGATTATATTTTTCTACGTTTTTTTTTTACCAAAAAAAAAACGTTTCTTTAAACGTTTTTTAAGTGGACATTTTAACCACTCAGAAACGTTTTCAAGGTGCTACGTGGGTTATTTCATCGATGACTACCTACCCTAAAATTTTGCACACGTCAAGTTCGGTATTTTATTATATAAAACTTCATTATATAAAAAAAATGAAACATTTCTGTAACTCGATTTACTAAAGAACCATCTTAAGTATTTATTATAATCTTAAGTATTATTAATTAGTATAATTAAATTATTGTAAATTATATTTTATTCTAAAGTCATTTTTTTCGATACATTTCTAAAACAAACAATTTATACTATATTTACAGATTAGCCATGCAGTTTGTCGTTTTATATATAATCGTCATCTTGTTTTCACAATCGTCAACTTGCTGGTCCACACAAGCAATAGACAACGATGGTTACAATGTTTACAATGTCATAGAATTTCCATCAAATTACGTGGACGAGTCGGTGCAAGGTCTCTGTGAAGATGACACAATTTCTTTAAACTTCTCAAATGCAGTAATCTCTGAGATCAATCAAAATTTTATCAGTAGTTCTATAATTACTTGCCTCAACCTCACGGATAATAATATTAGGAACATTGGTAACGGCGCTTTCGATAAACTTCCAAATTTAAATTACTTGTTTCTTTCGAACAATAGACTTGAAAGAAATGAACTCTTTAATTTTGGAAGTCATAATAAGTTACAAGTTCTTATTATGAATGAGGCAGTAAACCCAGACTACTGTTTTGATTTTCATAAAACTATTTCCGGCGAATATCCCAACTTAGAAATTTTGTCTCTCCGTAAAAATTGTTTCCATGATTTGCAGGCTTCGCGATTTCCATTTCCTAAATTAAAGATTTTGGATCTCTCCGGAAACAGCATATCACAACCCAATTTTGTAGAATTCCTACCAAATAGCTTATACTATCTTGATCTTCACGATAATTCACTTAGTTCTTTGGATTTAAGCAAAAGAACCAACAAATTGTTCGCATTGAACTTAAATAACAATCGTTTTACTTCCATTAAAAAGTGGCTTAATGGGTATAGCGATCTATCAGTGGTTGATTTGAAAGATCTACAGTATCTTTCGATTTCCGAAAACGGAATTAATAATATCGAACCAGATGCATTTCAAGATAATAACAGACTACTCTACTTGAATTTATCCACAAATCACATAAATTATTTACGTCCAAAGACATTTGCAAATTTGCAGTATTTAAACATACTCGATTTAAGTAACAATAGACTTAAAGGGGTTCCGCAAATATTAAATCAAATAAAAATAAGTGCTTTGTATATTAATAACAATAACATAAAGAAAATAATCTCATACAATTTTGTGCAAATGCCGAAATTGACGAAATTATTAATGGGAAAGAATCAAATTGATGAGATCGATGTTGATGCATTCGCTTCTCTTTCTATCTTAGAAGATCTAGATTTGTCGACGAATATGTTAAGTTCTCTGCCGGTAGGATGGGCAGAATCCCTTGTATCTCTAAAACATTTGGATTTGAGTAATAATAAATTTATTTCATTGGAGTCATTGTCACTAACCAGTACATTGCCAATAATAGAAATATATTTAATGATGAATCCATTAGAATATCTGAATGTAAAATATTTTGAAAATTTACCGCAGAATCTTACTATCCACTTAATAAACTATAATAGTCAGTTTATAAACGTTTCGGATATTGATATGAGCAACGAATGAAAATGAATTCTGAATGATTAAAATTTTAATTCTGTATACATAAAAAAATGTTGTGTTTATGTATTGGAAATACTAGATGTAATTAAGACATAGAATTTTAAATATTAGTGTAAGATTTTTCTATGTACAACTGAAATTAAATTATCGACTTAAGAAGTTTATAAACTTTTACTACATTTGTATGAAATTATTTTTATTATAATTAATAATAATGAGTTATTCGACTTTTGAAAAATTATTTGTATTTACTAATTACATATTAGGAAGTTTTTAACTATATCATATAGTATGAAAATGTTATATGTTATATGTTATAGAATATATTATATGTTATAGAATATATCATATATTATAGAATATATAATAAATGAGAACAGTTTAAAAAATTATTGTTTTTATTTATTAAAATTGTCTCCAAATTTTAGATTATATTCTAATTATTAAAAACTCTTATTGTTACACA